ATGCATGAAGGTTTGTATGTTTTCATGCCTTGATGTATGTGTGTATATAGACATACGTATGTACGCACATTCATGCATGCATACATACACATACATACATACGTACGTACGTGCATGCATACATACAAACACAAATACATATTTACACACACAAAATACATACACGCATACATACTTACTTACATACGTACACCCATACGTACATACAGGCATACATGCATTCATGCATGCATCTATACATGCATACAGACATACATGGAATCATTCGTAGAAACATACATGCATACATACACACATACATACATACACATAAATATGTACATCCTAGGCGACCCCCCTTCGGGTAATAAGGAGCTTGTGGGAGGGGGCAGAGGGGGGAGACAACATCTGACTCAATCGATCTCACTATCGATCTCAGTCAACGGGGCACCACGGGACACCAGGGGACACCTGTCGATATCAGAGAGAGCGTGATCCACCGCCGCTTTACTGTGGAAAATTGCCAACCTTTTCCTCCGGAACCCAGGGGTCTCCCCCCCCCCTCCGAAAATCCCCCCCCCCCCTGGCCGGAACCCCTCCCCCCCCCCCCCCCCCCCCCCTCTCCCCCCCGCAAAACCCCCCCCTCCCTAACCCCTCCCCCCCCCCCCCCCCCTCCCGCTCGAAAACCGGGGGGGGTCCGGGTTCGAACCCCCCCCCCCCCCCCCCCCCCCCCCCCCCTACCGGGGGGTCCACTACCGTTCGAACCCCCCCCCCCCCCCCCCCCCCCCCCCCCCCCCCCCCCCCCTACTCACCGCCAGCAAACGACTCCCGGTCCCCACCACCGTCCGCATCACATCCCCCACTGGTGTTCCCAGCACCACTGTCCTCACCACCGCTGTCCCCACTGGTTCCACCACCGCCCCTACTGTCCCCACCAGTGGCCCCACCACTGTCGCACTGTCCCCGCTGTCCCCAGAACTGTTCCCACCACGGTTCCACTCTCCCCACTGTCTCCACGGCCCCAACCACTGCCCGACTATCCCCACTGTCCCCACTGTCCCACTGACTCCTCCGCTGTCCCACTGAGCTGTCCCACTGTTCCCACCACTGTCCCCACTGTCCCCACCACTGTCCCCACTGTACCTCTGTCCCATTGTCCCACCGCCGTCCTCGCCACCGCTTTCACCACTGTCCCCACCACCATTGTACCCTCCACTGTCCCACTGTTTCCACCTCGTTCCCATTGTCCCCACACCACTGTCCCCACCACCACCGTCACCACCACTGTCCACTGTCCCCCCCTGTTCCCACCATTGTCCCCACCACTGTCCCCACCACTACCGTCCCCACCGCTGTCCCACTGTCCCACTGTCCCCACCACTGTCCCGCTATCCCCTCACCACTGTCCCCACCACTACCGTCCCCACCACTGTCCCACTGTCCCCCCACTGTCCCCACCACTGTCCCGCTGTCCCCTCACCACTGTCCCCACCAACACCGTCCCCACCACTGTCCGCACCCCCACTCGGTTTTCGAGGGGGGGGTGGGGGGTTCGAACCGGTAGTGACCCCCCCCCCTTTTCATGATGAGCTTGGGGGGGGGGGAGGGGTTCGAACCGGTAGTGACCCCCCCCGGTTTTCCGGAGGGGGGGGGGGAGGGGTTCGAACCGGTAGTGACCCCCCCCGGTTTTCCGCCAGCAGCGGTAGAACACGCTCTTTCCGATATCATTATCGATCTCATTATCGATCTCACTCAACGGGACACCACGGGACACCGCGGGACACCTCTCGATCTCAGTATCGGTCTCACGATCGATCTCACTATCGATCTCACTCAACGGGACACCATAAGGCACCACGGGACACCACGGGACACGTCGGGACACCACATTGATCTCTCTATCGATCTCAGTATCGATCTCACTATCGATCTCACTCAACGGGACACCATGGGACACCACGGGACACCTGTCGATCTTACTACCGATCTCACTGTCGATCTCACTTTTTGGGACACCACGGGACACCTCGGGGCACCACATCGATTTCAGTATCGATCTCACTATCGATCTCACTCAACGGGACACCATGGGACACCTGTCGATCTCACTGTCGAACTCACTATCGATCTCACTTTTGGAGACACCACGGGACAGCTCGGGGCACCACATCGATCTCAGTATCGATTTCACTGAACGGGACACCACGGGACACCGCGAAACACCGCGAGACACCGCGAGCCACCGCCAGACGGACGGACGGACGGGTGGGCGGGGGAGAAGCATGTGCCTCGACTTCGCCCTAGCAACGGCGGACACCACGGGACACCGCGGGACAACACGAGCCACCGCTGGACGGACGGACGGGAACGAAGCATTTTCGCCCTAGCAACGGCGGACACCACGGGACACCACTGGACACCGCGGGACACCGCTAGGGCCACCGTCGGACGGACGGACGGACGGACGGACGGGGGAACAATTTTTTTTCTGACTTCGCCCTAGCAGCGTGGGGTTCATTCC